TCCATGATCCAGATTTTCGTTTAAACTTATCACCAAAACCAAATGATGTCTCCCTAGCTGGAGTAGACTGAAAAGCAAATAAATTATTTTCGTCAAATATCTGAACAAATATCCTGCAAATAATTAAGGTTATTACGAGGATACCGCAAAGTATGCATGAAGACAGTACAGCGCAGCGGAGGACGATGTGACAGCGTACTGACTGAGTGCATACTTTGAGGCATCCTCATAATATCATTAATATACATCTTTTCCTTCCAAGGATACACCATGAGAATGCCGAAATCCAAAAAGTTTAGAACAGAATCAGCGAACTACTTTGTGCAGAATCTGGTCAAACCCTGGTGGCAGCCATGTTTGTTTTTATTATTAGAAGAGGCTTATGCACATAATCATTCCATATTTGGAATTCGCATTTCCTTATATGGTAGGATGAAAATGACCCGTAAAATTCTGCAAAATTACGGCACGCTGTCAGGTGTATAATAATTGTATTTATATCAACATCTGTCGATGGCTGCCCAACAAAAAAAATCACAACATTACAAAAGCTGCACCATAAAATTGATTTTATGCTGAAAAACTAATGTTGTAGAATTTCGAAGTGTGCCCATGCAGTGGTGTTGATTATAATGTACAAGCTCCTGATCACAAAAACATATTTTTGACGTCTGCAAACATGATCTAAACTGATGTACATTCTTAACAGACAATGAAACTGAGGTATACACACCTTGCTGCCGTCAACTGCCAGGGAAGAGTTTGCACTTGCTACAATAAAATATAAAACTAAACTTATTAAAAATACTTGTTTGCATGCCATGACACATACTATAGTACTCGACCAGCATTAGTGCCAATGCTCGGCTAAGCACCCACTTTTGGGACATTTCTATTTTCGAGTTCACTTTTAGCTAAGCGCCCATCACTTTCAAAATGCCCCCGATTCGACTGTAATCATAAAACTTGTTTTTTGATTATTTTTTTAATTTTTCCAAATACTGGTAATTGTTTTTATATGATACAGAGTGGATATTGACCGCAGTAAATACATTGTGAATGCGTAGACCACTGTAATTGTGTGTAAACTTGGCTTTGACAATGACCCGTTAATGAAAGTAAAATGCGATAAATATTTCATGCCATATTCAGTTTACCTATCAAAAATTGCTAGTTACCAGTTTTTTAAAAAAATCATGCAGTTTATTCGCCGAAATCAATTCCAACAGATCGTACTGTAACATCGATAATTTACTTCCACACTGCATTACCAGAAAATCTTGAAAAATTCCTGAAGAATTGCATGTGTACAACACAGCATTTTGATTGGTTAATAACAGACTTGACCCATTGGGTCAAAGGACAAATCGGTCAAGAAAACGTCATGGCGAAAAGTGATTTTCATAGAGAAAATCCAACACATTCGACTATGAAGATAATGAAGATTTTGACTTTGACTGTGTTCGAACAGACTAATATTTTTAATCTTTTAAATTCAGGTGGTACGTAATTAAGATTGTAATAAAATGTGCATATTTTTTTTGGGCCCTTTCTGTTTCTTTATTGTAAAAATCAACTAATTTTGTAAACCCCCCCCCCCCAAGTCGCAATATCCGCCTCAATTTTTTAAGTTGAGGACACTGGGCGCTAACACTGTCGAGTACGGCATAACACACACACAAATTACAATTAATGGCAAACATACTATGGGTATTATATGTACCATACTTACTTTATTAGCAGTGTACACACTTTTGAGAATGAAAGATGTGTAAGTAGTAAAAATATTTTAATGATCCACTACACAATGAAAGTAATTTTTGGTTTACAAATTGCAGATGGGCTTGTAAGAACAGAAATACAGTACGAGTGCAACAGTGCAGTAACACAAATTTAACTACAGTCAAACCTGTGTTAACGACCACCTGTGCAGAGCGGCCACCTGCTCATAGCGACCACCTTAGTACAGTCCCTTCACAATTTACACGTTAAAGACACTGGATATAGCGACCACCTGTCCAACGCGACCAGCAACCACCCTATTGTAGACCTATTCACACTTTAACCTTTGTATAACGACCACCAACATTTCCATCAGACGGTATCAGCAAAAAGACAATACCTACTTGCGAATCGCTAACAGGAAAGTGGCCATGTGTTACGTTCAGATTACCGAGTACGCAATCTTTAGGGCTAAGAGACAGGGGTGACCATCGCAACTTGGTTTGTAAAGTTGCGAGAAAGTAAAAACAAAAAGTTGAATATCATCTTAATGTAACGTCTGGAGACTGGCAAATTTTAACAACAAATTAGAACTGTTTCATTTAAAGTTTGAAATGACAAACTAGCTTGTTTCCGATCGGTACTACACTATCGATCCCCAGCCGGCCAGCGACACTTCTGTGGACTGTCTTGCACATGAAGAGCAAATTCCTCCAGTGTTCTCCACAAGGGGTTTTAAGCGGGCGGCCCGCCCATCAAGTTTTACGGCCGCCCAGTAAGCTCTCAACACCCGCCCACCAACGTACATCCAGCTGAAATTATTTGTAAAAG